GCAAAGCACGTATTTAACAAAGGACTATTAGACTATATAAAAAAGTCTCCAAACTCAACATAAAAAATCCAAACATCTTAATTTAAAAATGGGCAAAAGGGGGGCAAGCAGATGATGTAATGGTTATGTTGCTGGACTCCCATGTAGTTGACTGCAGTTCGAGTCCCAGACCAGGTGGCTTAAAGCTCACACCAGGCACATGTGCACAAGTGCCCAAAATCCTGAGAGAAGGAATTGCATTGTGGCCATCCCCTCAATGGGTGATCTCTAGCTTTCTGTCTTTCTGTCTCTCTCCGTCTCTCCAGTGAGCACACAGACCCTATAGCAAAAATCTCCCTAAAAATAAAATGGGTAAAAGGGGTCAGCAGATAGCGTGATGGTTACATCACTGGACTACCACATGGCCGATCATGGTTTGAGTCCCAGACCTGGTGGCTTGAAACTCATGTAGAGTATGTGTGCATGTGTGCCCAAAATCTTGAGAGGAGAAGGGAAATTACAGCATGGCCATGTCCCCTGGGAGATGATTTCTTGCTCTCTTTTTCTGGTGAGTGCACATGCCCTATAGTGAAAATCTCTCTAAAGGAAAAAAAGAGGAAAAGACACACAAAAAATTTCACTGAATAGGGTATACATAGAGAAAATAATCACATGAAAAGATGTTTAACCTTATTAATCATTAGAGAAATAAACTTCGATGAGATTATTTCTTTTTTTCCCATTGTCATAATGGTATTTATTGTCATGTACATAGATATACCTACTTCATTCTTTTTTATTCTTATTCTTATTATTTATACATTCAATCATTAATGATTATTTAGATTGTAAAGATACTTTACCCAGCATGATATACAACTCAGTCCAGCCTAGTTGAAAATACTATATATGTCATCATAATAAACCATATCTGTGTCCCACAAATGTCTTATCTATTTTTTCCCAAAATTTCCTTTCCTATGCTCTTCCTATCCCATACTCTCCTTCTACTTTGTTCCCAGTGTTCCTAACAATTTTAAATGCTTTTATGTCCTCCAGTCTTTCAGTCTCTACCATAGAGTGTAGACAGTCGGTATATGTTAAGTGGAGACATATAATGTCTCTTTTTCATAGTCTGACTTGCTTGACTCAGCAATAAATCTTCCATATTCATCCACTTTCTATCAAATTCCAGGACCTTGTTGCTTTTTATGGCTGAATAGTATTCCATGGGGTATATGTGCCACACTTTTTCAATCCAGTCATCTGTGGACATTTGGGTTGGTTCCATATCTTAGCAATGATGAATAATGTCACAATATAGATCTATAAGCACTTTTCTGACTCAGCATTCTCCTGTCCTTTGGGTAGATACCCAGGAGTGGAATTGCTGGATCATAAGGTAGTTTCTATTTGAAGGTCTTTGAGGAACCCCCATATTGTTCTCCACCATGGCTGGACCAATTTACATTCCTACCAACAATGTAAGACAGTTCTTCTTTCACCACATCCCCGCCAGAACTTACCTTTTTTTGTTTTTTAATCTTCACCATTCTGACTGAGGTTAGGTGGTATCTCATTGTGTTTTTGATCTGCATCTCCCTTATGATGAGGAATGTTGGGCATTTTTTCATATGCTTTTTGGCTATTCATATGTCTTTATTAGAGAGTTTTTATTCAGTTTAATTCTCCCATCTTTTAATTGGGTTAATCATTTTCTCCCAGGTAAGTCACTTGAGTTGCCAGTGTATTCTGGTTATCAGTCTCTTATCTGAGGTACAGCTAACAAAAATTCTCTCCCATTCCGAGGATCATCTATTCACACCAATTACTCTTTTGCTGTGCAGAAACTTCTGAATCTGATGTAATCCCACCTATTTTGAGGATTATTACCTGTGCTTTAGGGGTCTTAAGAAGTATTTGGCTACCCCAATGTCTCCCAGGGTTTCCCCAATGTTTTCCACCAGCATTTTTATAGTTTGCAGCCTTAAGTTTAGATCTTTGATCTACTTTGAGTTGATTTTTGTTATTGGTGACAGGGGTTCAGATTCATCTTTCTGCAGGTGAATGCCCAGGTTTTCCAGCACCATTTGCTAAAGAGGTTTTCCTTTTCCCACTGGATTGACTGGTACTCTTTGTCAAAGATCAGTTGGCTGTACGATTTGGGCGTTATTTCTGGGGTCTCTACTCTGTTCCATTGGTCTGTGTGTCTGTTTTTGTGCCAATACCATGCTGTTTTAATTGTTGCAGTTTTGTAATGTATTTGGGGATCAGGAAATGAGATATCACTCACTCCACTCTTCTTGCACAGAATGGCTTTGGCACCTCAGGGTCTTTTATGATTCCAGATAAATTCTGATCGTCTTTTCTAGATCTGTGAAGAATGTCTCTTGTAATTTTATAGGGATTTCATTAAGTATGTAGATTAATTTGTGTATGATTGCCATTTTGATTATATTAATTCTGCCAGTCCAGGACCATGGGATGTCCTTCCACTTTTTTGTGTCATTTTTTATTTCCTTTTTAAGGTTTTCATAGTTTTCCTTTTAGAGGTCTTTGACTTCCTTGGTTAGTTTTATTCCTAGGTATCTTATACTTCTTGTGGCTATGGCAAATGGGATTACATTCTTCAGTTCTGTCTCTGTCTGCTTGTTGTTTGTATAGAGAAATGCTATAGACTTTTGTAAGTTAATTTTGTATACTGCCACTTTACTGCATACATTTATTACTTCTAGAAGTTTTTTTTTTGTGGATACTATTGAGCCTTCTATGTATACAAGCATGTCATCTGCAAACAGAGATAGTTTCAGCTTTTCTTTCCTTATTGGAATGCATTTTATTTCACTCTCTTGTCTGATTGCATTGGCTAGGACTTCCCATACTTTATTGAAAAGGAGTGGAGAAAGTGAGCAGCCTTGTCTTGTACCGGTTTTTAGTAGAAAAGCTTTAAGGTTTTCCTTATTCAGTATGTTAGCTATAGGTGGCTTTTATTATGCTGAGAAATGATCCTTCTCTGCCAATTTTACTGAGAGTCTTAATCATAAAGAAATGTATTTTGTCAAATGTTTTTTCTGTATTGATTGAAATGATCATATACTTTTTAATCTTTCTTTATGTTAATATGGTGTATTACATTTATGGTTTTGTTTATGTTGAACCACCCTTGTGTACCTGGAATAAAACCTACCTGGTTGTAATGAAGAACCTTTTTTATTTGCTCAAGAATCTTGTTGAGAATTTTTGCACTGGGAACCAGCAGTTAGCATGACAATGTCGCTGGACTCCCACATAGTCGACCACGGTTCGCGTCCCGGATCTGGTGGCGTGTGCATGTGTGCCCAAGACCCCAAGAGGAGAATGGAGGAGAAGGGATTGTGGTGTGACCATCCCCCCTGGGGAGTGATTTCTTGCTTTCTGTCTCTATATCTCTCTCTGTCTGTCTGGCGAGTGCACGCGCCCTACAGCAAAAACCTCTCCAAAAAAGAAAAAAAAAGGAATTTTTGCATCTATATTCATCAGAGATATAGGTTTGTAGTTTTTCTTTTTTGTCACATCCTTATCTGTTTTGGGAATAAGAGTAATGAAGGTTTCACAAAATGAATTTAGAAGGCTTCCTTTCTTTTGAATCTCTAGAAACTGTGTGAGTACCTCTTCTTTAAAAGTTTTGTGAAATTCATCAGTGAAGCCATCAGGACCTGGACTTTGGTTTTTGGGAAGTTATTTATTATTAATTCAATCTCATTGCTTGTTACAGGTCTATTTAGACTTTCTAAATCCTCCTGAGTCAATCTTGGTAGATTATATGTCTCTAGGAGTTTGTGCATCCCATCCAGGCTTTCTTCTATTTTCTTTCTTCTTATAGCAACTCATAGTATCATCTAATGATGTTTTGTATTTCTATTCTGTCTGTTGTAATGTTGCTTGATTCATTGCGAATTTTATTTATCAAGTTCCTTTCTTCTTAATTAATCTAGCTAATGGTGTGTCAATCTTGTATATCTTTTCAAAGAACCAGTTTTTGCTCTCATTTATCTTCTTTATAGTTTATTTTTTATTCCATTTATTTCTGCTCAAATCTTTATTTCTTTTCTACTCATATTTTTTTCAATTTATTTTTAATTTCGTGGAATAACCATAAGAAACCAAATTTGCCCTATGCTACTTCTTAATAACATATAATTTCATCTAGACAATTTTATGTTTAAATACATGAATTGTATGATAAGTTATAGAAGACAAGATTTTGATATTAAACATGTTATGAGATTGAGTCATCCTGTTATCTCCCACCTCCTAGCTTGTAATCATGTTTTTTTTTTTATCAGTGTTTTAGCAACACACCTAATAATCTTTCTCTCACTGCTGCTTCCTTCCTTCACTTGCTATTTTGTTAACTTATCAAATACACTAACCAACAGTTAGTATATACATTTACACTGACACCATTTGAAAACAGAATTATGTGTTTTACTCATTATTATGCCAAGTTTACTTCCTCACAGAGTTGGGCACATACAAAATCTCAGTAAATATTTACTGAAGGAAGAAGTAACAAAGACCTTTAAAAAGTCCATGAAAATGCATGTTATGAAAAACTATGCATGGATTTAAAATTTTTGCAGCAAAATGAGCCCATATTTTAATTTTGATTTACACAAACTTTTTGAAGTTCCTTGTAAATAAAAGAATGAATAATGTATCATTTTTTGAAATGAAGACATGATTTAGAGGTTCTATATACCTCCTACCATTGGTCTTTAATTTATGATTTAGAACTCCCAGACCTCCATGTTCTGCAGATGTACTCAAAAGGTTTTCCCTGGAACAATCTAGTGTCATTCCACAGTTTCTTTCACCTAGCCTGCTGGTGCTAGGGCCGACACACTAGTTAGTGTAGGGCCTCTTGTGAAGACCATGTGGTTTAGCAATAATCTTGGTGCAAGCTGGTCACTGTCTTAGCTGACAGACTCTCAGCAGAACTTGCTCTACACAGATAACAAAGATATTAGTAGTCAAAGATATGAATTTTGCCAAAATCTTGTTTAATGTATAAGGCTCGGGTAGGGAAAATAGTCTTCTTTTTAAAAATAGAATCTGTGCTTGAAAATACTTGTAATAGATATTTCATGTGAATTATTCAATATTTCTCTTTTTAAGTACTACTACCAATATTTAAGTCTAAAATAAACCCTTAGGAGGTTCTGGCAGTCTGAGTGAAGGCTTCCCTTGAGGCAAAAGAATCTAGACTATTTGTCTAAATGAAACAAAACCCTATAGGATTTTAAACAGGAAGAGAAATGTCTGATCCAGATCCCTTTTATCTGCCCCTCCCTTTGTACAAACTCTACTTCCTCTTTTCCCTACTCTGTGCCCTGTAGGCTCAACCTCCACAAGTGACCTTGCACTTGACCTCCAAGGGGAGCACTGACAAAGGACAGGGGACCAGAGGGAAGGGAAAATTAGGTTACACAGGTTACTCCCCAGATCTTTACTTTTGGGATATTGCTCTGCTTTATTGTTCAATCAAGGGTCACACACTTGTTACGTGGCCCCATCTACATAGTTCTCTCATTCTCTCTTTAGTAATTACTTTTTTCTTTTGCCTCTTTAAGTCCATAAATAGCAAAGATATCTCATTGTTCCTGGTTTGAGGGCTTTTCATTATCCCTATGGTTTTCCTACACTCTGACAAATCTGTTCACATAACGTTTATTAATCAAATAATTATTTCTCACAAATTACCTAATTTTAGAGACATCTTATTCCTAACATGACCTTAATGGACACAATGACCATATTTTTATTTTAGAACAGTTGCATAGACACCAGGGTCCAATATGCACAGGAAAGAGAGGTAAGAAAGACAGTATACTGATATACTGATTCGGGTAAGAGGTGGCTGCACTTGGATAACAGCAATTAGGACAAAGAGGAAGGAAGCACAAGATTCCAGAAATAGAATTAATATGACCTTGTGCAAATCTCATCACCAATCAAATTCACTCCTACCAAATTCTAACTAAGAGAAAATTCTGTCCTTAGTTTACCTGGCATCAAGTTCAAACAAACTGAAGATTTATATATAAGTAGAAGGGAGGCAAATAGGACCAGTGTACCCCAAGCTTTTAAAGTATGCAATGTGGGGGCAGATTTGGGGGGTTCTGGAAGGAGTCGCGTTTTTAGAGGTTTCAGTGTCCTGTCCCACTGAGTCAGGATGGCGTTTCTGGCCCCTTCCCATTTTCCAGGACCCACTAGGCGGTACTGATAAGAGGTGCATGGTCCAAAGAAAACTTCCCAAGCAAGTCTGGGGTCTGTGAGGAACAGAAATGGTATGCTGGGCTTTGTGCCAATGCTTGCAGCGAGGTCGTCCATGTAGGGAATGTAATCGAGTTTGTCTTCACTGGTGTCTTTAATCACACCCCTGAGGAGGAAAAGATGGATGGCTTTTCATTAATCACCTTGACTTAAATTCCTCAAGTTAGAAGGTTCACTCCTCCCAACATTTGTTAATTTTTGTAAAAAAAAATCTAACAAGTATATATATTTTTCTTTTTCTATAATTTGCTATAGGGCAATGTGCACTTATAAGAGACAGAGAGAAAAAAGAGAAAGAGAGAGCGAGAGAAACAAATGAGAAAGTACCCCCCAGAGAGAATGACCACGGTGCAATCATTTCTCCTCCCTACTCCTCTTAGGATTTTGGGCACAATTGGCCATATGGGATCTACCCCCTTAATACTAAGCCAAAATATAAGTGATTTTACCTACAGAGGGTGTGTGTGAGGGTGATTTTGCTAAGGAAGATGGTAAAAGTAGGCAATTAGAAGGACCAGCAGATAACATAATGGTTACGTCACTGGACTCCCACATAGTTGACCACAGTTAGAGTCCCAGACCTGGCGGCTTAAAACTCACACCAGGCGCATGTGTGTGGATGCCCAAAATCCCAAGAGGAGATTGGAGAACGGATTTTACAGCATGGCTACCCCCCACGGGGGGAGATTTATCACTTTCTGTCTCTCTGGTGAGCGTGTGTGCCGTATAGCAAAAATCTCTCTCTTAAAACAAAAAAATGGAGGCACTTGAAATATTATTTTGGGTTTTGAGTTTGATAAGAACATAAAATTTGATCAGTACAAATACAATAGTTGTTGAATGAACACATGTTCAGGAAGTATCACATAGACTCAGCCTCTGTGATAATACAAGAGGAAGGCTGGAAGCCATATGGATGACCACAAGTTTGGGTTCCTCAGTCAGCCTGAAAACATGCTGGGTGTGGACACAGCCTCCAAGGATCCTGAGGAGGGTTGAGAAAAGGTGATCACAGCATGATAAGACTCAGAGAGAAGGTGCTTCGCTCTTTCTCTTGTGCATGTGGATGCACTCTCTATGAAAACAACACAAAACACAAAAAAAGAAAGGAAGAAGAAAGAAAAAAAATCACATTACGTGGGCACCTGAGTTTTAAAACACTGAGTGGAGAGGGCCATACTTCGTAGAGCAGGACTGAACTTCATGCAAATAGAAGCACAGTTCACATGAAGACTTTATTCTTAATTAGCAAAATTATTCTGTAATTAGCACATTTTCTTGATGGTCTGTAGTTCATTCATTCAGTGAATAAATAAATAAGTATTATCTACCACTTTCCAGGTACCATTCTAGGTGATGGAGATCCAATGAACAAGGTGAACAAAGAAAGATCCTAGCAGTTAAAGAGCTTTTATTCTAATAGGAGAAAGCAACAGATTATAAAAGCAAAGCCAAACAGGTAGGTAATACCTCTAGTGACCACTGTGCTATCAAACAGGAAAGTGGGTGAGGGAGAGAGGCAGGGCAAGACTGCCATCAGGGAAGGCTTCTAAGAGGTGACATTTGAACAGACTCAGGCAGGTGTCTGGCAGAGAACATTCCAGATGTAAGTGCAAAGGTTCGGGGGGGGGGGAGGGGTTGGTGCTTGGCATGCTTAAGGAGCAGTGAGTAGGCCACAGTGCTTGACACAGCATGGGAGAACAGTGGGTGCTGCAGGCACATAGACAGCAGGTATCCTGCTGGGTAGGAGCTGCAGAGAGCCTTCTGGGAGAAAGAGGGAAGCAGGAGAGGTTCGTGTACAGAGGACAATGTGGCAAGTCACCGGACTGCTGGGGCAAGATAAGACTGAGGCACAGCCAGAGTGGAAGGAGGGAGACAGAAGAGAGGAGTGACGGGGGAACCAGCTGTTAGCGTAATGGCTACGTTGCTGGACTCCCACGTAGTCGACTGCAGTTCGCGTCCCGGACCCGGTGCATGCGCACGTGCCCAAGATCCCAAGAGGAGAATGGAGGAGAAGGGACTGTGGCGGGACCATCCCCCCTAGGGGGTGATTTCTCACTTTCTGTCTCTATGTATCTCTCTCTCTGTCTGGCAAGCTCATGCACCCTATAGCAAAAACCTCTCCAAAAAAAAAAAAAAAAAGAAAAAGGAGAGAGGAGTGACAAGTGTCCTGGTAAGAGAGTGGGTGGCCTGGTCTGGGGCAGCAGCATAAGGGAAGAAGGGCTTAAATGCTGGACTCATTGGGAGAAGCAGCTGACATGTTTCCTGATAGGCTGTGAAGGAAGGAGGAAAGGGGATTCTCTAAGGTTTTCAACTATCAGCTGAGATGAGCAGCCAGTAGCTGTGACAGGGTGTCTTTGCGGCCTACTAGCAGGGCAAGTGGGGTGACAGGGCAGGTGGGGTGAATGGGGTCAAGAGTCGTTCTTATATATCTTTTTTTTTTTTTTTGGAGAGGTTTTTGCTATAGGGTGCGTGTGCTCACCAGATAGAGAGAGACAGAGAGACAGAAAGTGAGAAATCACCCCCAGTGGGGATGGCCACGCCACAATCCATTCTCCATTCTCCTCTCAGGATTTTGGGCATGCACGCACATGCGCCCGGCATGAGTTTAAGCTACCAGGTTCGGGACTCGAACCAGGGTCGACTATGTGGGAGTCCAGCGACATAGCCATTACGCTAACTGCTGGTGCCAAGAGTCGTTCTTATATATCTTGAATGTGAGACGCCTGTTAAATATCTTTGTAGAGCTAGCTAGAGAGAGTAGTATTAGGAGTCTAGACTCCCAGGACAAAAGTTGGGTTGGAGACCCAACTTTGAGAGCCACGAGTACATGATGATATCTAAAGCCATAGGCTTGGATAAGGCTCCAGGAGCGAGTGTAGACATGAGGTTTGAGGACCAATTTCGGGACTCATGAGTTTTCAGGACTGAAGAAGAGAAGATACCAGCAACTACATAAAGCCACCTGAGAGGCGAGAAGAGAATGAAGACATAACGAATTTTGAGGGCAAGTGAAGTTAGGGCTGCTGTCTGTAGGGTGGACTCTGTGTCCCACTGAGAAGACCTGGTGCGCCCTGGGTTGTGGCTAATGCCAGGGTCTGGTTGGTGCCAGCATTATTCCCATTCTGCTAGTTTCCCTAGGAATGGCTTTTATACTAAAAGCCTTTTCTTTTTTCTTTCAGGAGCCTATATTGGCAAACTTTCCCTGTAGCAAACTATACTTAATACCTTTTAATGAGCTGCTCCTTTTTAATCGCCTCTGCCATCAGCTTCTGGGATGGAGGTATTTCGCAGAGTCCTACAAGAAGAATCAGAAAACAACTCTAGAGTCACACATGGCCTTTCCTTCAGTTCTCCTCCCTTGAGCCTCCTACTGCTCCAACTTCAGGGCATGAGGCAGTTAAAGCTGAGCATGAATTTGGAGTGCAGAGAACTTTCTAGAGGTCAATTCCCCCCAATTCTGCTCCCAGGCTTGCGAGACAGACATTCCATGGCTCAGGCCTCTGCCCTCACCAGACACCAGAACCAGCCCGCACCAGCTACCTGCCCCATCTTCTGTTTCTGCTCTCATTTTCACATTCCACACAGATATACACATGTGGACTTCAAAGGTTCATGGAGAAATGGAATTAATGTATGAGTCTTAGTGCAAAAATTGAAATCCATGCAGAGGACCTGTCTGCTGGACTGTTGTGGGGACCAGAATATTCTCCATCTCCCATCCTGGCAGTCTCAGCACTTGGACTCTGATCTTGATTGGAAGCCTGAGCTTGGACATGCTCTGGAACTGCCCCAGAGTCCAAAAACGCACCCTGTCATCTGGGTTCCTGTACCCCCACACACACCCCTGTGACTAGCCAGCCACACTGCCACCATCTCATTTGACTACTCCTGCCCTGTTTAGTAACCCCCAGTGGCTGGGTTTTCGATCCACATGAGACAGGTCCAATTCAGCACCAGTTGTCCTTTCTAATAAAGCCATTCTGCCCTGTAGAAAGCTGTCAAGGCTTTAGTTGGTGGGTCCTGGATCCCCCACTGGAAGCTCTTGTGTGAACCATGCAGTTACTCCTGTGGTGTGGTCTGACTGAATTTGTTATGGTCAGTTTTATCATTCTAGTAAAAATCAGGTAAGACTTCTGTGGTTTTAACATAATTAGATGATGCTGAGAAAACATTCTCTGGCCTTAAAGAAATAAAAATTTGTCATACTTTAACAAAGGGTTGTAAATTTCTTTGTAATGTAAATAAAAGGAGCTTTTCTAATCTCCTCCACCTGTCCTCTTTTATTCAAATAAAATATCCTTGCCAACTTAGGAGAACCTATGATTTTTCAAGTATGGTTGACATCTACTCCATGTGTGCAGTGTGAGAAAAGCCATGCTATTTAGTACTATGTTGCATGCTATTTAAAAATCACTGGTGATCATTTTTATCCATTAAGGGCCACATTCTGCTAAAGAATAGCTGGCTGGCCCAGTTGTGACTGCTGTTTATATTTAAAAAATAATACAACTGCAATTCTTCAACATGTTACTCATGTAAAATGTGCCCTGCTTCAGAGAGCTGTGACAGTCATAGCAACAGTAAGAGCAGCGCTATTGCTCTCACTTAAGGAGCAGTGTATTATGTGTCAAATCCCATGTTAATTGCTTTGCCGACATTATTCATTTTATAAAACCCCTATAAGAGTTTATTATCCCCCTTTTGTGGATGAAGGGCTGAGACTTGGCAAGGCCCTTACAAAGCTCATGGATTTCAAAGGTGGGACTAGACGTGGTGATGCCAGCAGGGATGCTCTTACAGTGGTAACTGCCAGCCAGCAAGTAGCGTTCAGTGTCTAAAATGTTTTATGGGCATTTCTTAAAGGTTACCATTGCCTCAGCTCTCAACCTTATCCACAGTGTGCATTATCTTAATATTTTTTGTAAGAAGCAATATAAAATTCTACATCTAATAATAAATGGAAGGGTTTCAGAATGAATAGACTACTCTAGACAAAGATTCTGATGTTTCCTATAATCTTAGCTAATCTGACAATTACATTAGATCTGCTGTCCAAATCTGTTCCGTCCACAGAATCTAAACCTCTTTTTCAGCTTTGTCACACTAAGTGGCATAAGCACACCAGTTGGAACATTATATATACAAAGGGTCTTCAAAGTTCATGGAAAGGCATATTCTGAGAAAACTAGGCATGGATTTCAAAATGTTCTGCAACAAAATAAATTCTTACTTCAATTGCATTATCCATGAAATTTTTGATGTCCTCTTGTCTACATCATTAATTGTTCCTTAAATTTTTAAAAAATTACATGACTTTAGCTTACACCTGATTGTATCTAAATGGCAGGGCACACCCACAGGGCTTTATGTGGTGTCAAGGTACCTTTGAATACTCTCGTAGCCCATCGTGCTTGGAGCTCTGTGCCTACTAAGATGGACCCTTTGGTGCTCAAAAAGCCAATGATGGCTAAGGTCGCTCTCTCCAGGTTCAAGGGAAAGACCAATTTGTATAGGAACATCTTCTTTACACAAAGGCTCTTGAGAGGTTCTTCAAGAAAGGGAAAAGAATAGGTATATCCTGTAGTGAAGATGACAACATCAATATTTTCTTCCACTGTCCCGTCTTCAAAGACAGCCGTGGTTTCTGTGAACTCCCTCACGCCATTTTTCATAGTGACTGTCCCACAGAGGATACAGGTTGGCAGCTCATCGTTCACCACAAATTTTGTTTTCCTCCTTTGACGAGAGGAGAAAATTACTCAGTGTAGGAATGTCTGCAAGACACTAGAGCAAATTATTTATTTATTTGGTCAATTCAGGGAAATGACCTGCCAAATCAAGGAAGTAAACTGACTTTGGTCTGACTCAGTTCTTCACCTGACTTCACTGCAATGTGGTTGTACTTCATTTGTAATATGGTTACATGGTTCATTCTTGGCTCCCAGGAGCAGAGAGGTAGAAAATGACTAAGCCTACTCTGTAAGGCCTGGGATTTCAAGTTCTCTATTGCTTGGAATTAATTTCTGAAGCAATGCTTTTCTCAGAGTGACAGAACAAGGGTATGACAATTCATTTGATGATTAATTTGGGGTCTCACATTACCTCCACATTCAGGGAATAATATAAGGCAAAGATTGAAAATATAAGAAACTGAATAAAATGAAAAAATTTAAATCTATAAGTACTGATGAATATTTTCATTGTATCTCTATACCTAATCACATCAGACATAAAGTCTTCATAAAATTTGCATATAAAATCATCCTTTGCCATTGATTTTCCTTATAAGTTGAAAGATATCAAAGAAATATATGCGGTTCAAGAATATAATAAAATCACTTAATGAACTAATATGCATTTTGGTCTTCTTTTACTTGCCAGTGTGCAACTCTACACAGATATATATTAAAACACCTCAGAAATTCTTATTAGACATACATCCCTCCACTCACTCAACCAGAACAGACAGTTATCAGAGGTTAGTCAGAGCTGAGCATCTGCTCACTGGTTGTGCAAAGACTGTGTTTCTATAACGGATGGTAGCAGTCTCAAGATTCTTCAAAGCCAATTTAAGCTGATTTGCAAGCTAGAAATGTAAGTATTAATTCTTTATTTTCTTCTAGCCTCATGAATTACTGCTTTTGTCACCAGACAGTGAATACTCCTACTTGAACTGCTATAGCCACTGATAGACAACCGTCTTAGGGAAGTAAGTTTAGAGCAGGATAAATAAAGGCAATGTTACAATTATTGAACATCATGAATTCTAAATAAAAATGATGTAATAATTTCTCCAATAAGTAAAAATATTTAAGTACCCTTTCGTAATACTTAATCCATAATTCTCATGATTTAATCTTCTATTCATCTGTCTCTCTTGAATCCACATTAGGAAACATGAAGGAAGAACTCGTTGAATCAAAGTGTAGAATCTTCTTGTGATCATCATATTTAATGGGTAGCCCCCATATGAGGAGCGGCTGATAACCCAGGCACCAGTTCTAGTACTGAGAAGTACCTAAAAAGAAAGGCAAGAAGGATAAATACATGTCCATCACTTTGGGTACTTTTTCTTCAGTGTGTCTCAAATAGTCATAATAGCAGAAGACTGGTGAATTTGTACAGAAATATATATACAATCAGCTGTTTCTTCTTGTTCTAGAAAATTCCCTTGATTCACGTACCTGTATTAAGTATTTTCACTGTGTTTATAAAATTACAAAACATGTATTATAATATTTGTACATAAATGGTATTGATCTGGCTATTTTTGTATGTAAATTATACACTGGGTTGTCAGAAAAGTCATGACGCATTTTTGCATAGAAAAACAGGAAAAAATACATCATGACTTTTCAGACAACCCAATAGAATTTAAAGATTTAGAAAAGCAGTCATTTTTATTAATTTTGCAAGAAGGTGTGTGTTCTCACCAGAGAAAGACGGAGGGAAAGTGAGAATGCTTCCTCTATTTGGGATGGCCACACTACAATCCCTTCTCCTCTGTTTAGCCTTTCAGGATTTGGAAACATGAAGGAAGAACTCGTTGAATCAAAGTGTGGAATCTTTTTGTGATCATCATATTTAACAGGTACACACGGGTACACACACACACACACACACACACACACACACGCTTGGCATGTTTTTTTCAAGCCACTGGTTCAGGACTCAGACAGCATAGTCAATCATATGGGATCCAGCCGCCTTAACCACCATGCCACCAACTGGCCTAGAAAAGCTATTTTAACTGAATTATATAAAAATCTAGTCTTTTCAGATCTTAAAGTTTAAACTAAAGTGTAATAGATTTTTAACGTGTTAATTATATGTGAACTTTCTAACATCATTTGGTATACTTCCTAGACAAAATAGGGCTGCTTTAATCTTAACACATAGTTCAAGTCTGACTTCTGATAGAGAACTTAGAGACATTCAAAAATCTGCCTCTCTTTTCTAATGTTCCACAGGGGGTTTGACAGAATTACAGAGGAAGACTGTAAAAGAAAAAGAATTGGCCTAGGTAGAGCAATTTGCCCCTTTGGCCTGGCCCTGAAGGAGCACTTTGGGAGATGCCTAGTCTGGCATCCACACTCTTCCTAAGCCCTACTTGGAGATGGTCTATTTGTAAAGCATGGCTTCTTAAATACCTCAGAGATGACCACAGTGGCTTTAACAATTCCCAGGAATTTTTTTTTCCCCACTTATCCTGTGTCTGCATAATTTAACAATGGCCAGTGTGTTTCACAGTCTTGAACACCTCTCTCTAGCCACCTTAGATGGTTCATGTGGGACACTGATTTAGAGATGGTGTACCTGAGCGGCTGTTCGACTCAACTCCACAGCAATGTCTCCTCCAGTGTTCCCAAGACCAATCACTAAGACACGTTTGTCCTGAAAGCCTTCTGGGATCTTATACTCTTGACTGTGCAGGATCTGGCCTTTAAACTTGTGGATTCCTGAGAAGAGAAGGAGCAGAAAATCTCAAATATCTATAGCTATAAATTCCTACCATGCAGGGATAGAGTCTGTGGAAAAAAAAGGAAGTCCCAGTAATAAGTTAGTCCTTTGCTCTTGCAAATTGTTGCAGTAGTAGAAAAGGAAATGATACCCTCCCTGCTGGGATGCTGTGAACCTAGACAAAGATTTGGTATAACCTGTTCTATTAAAAATGTAGAAGCAGGGCCAGCAGGTGTCAAGGTTAAAGTGGCTAGATCCCACATGGCTGACTACACAAGTTTAAGTCTCAGAGCAGTGACTTGAAAAATATGCCACGCCCATGTGCAGGCATGACCAAAATCCCAGGAGAAGAACAGAGGAGAGGGGGTTGTGGGGTTTCTCTTGAGGCATGAGGGGTGATTTCTCACTTTCCCTTTCTCTGTCTCTGACTCTGGTGCATGCATGTGTCCTATATCTCTTCACCCCACAAAAATGTATTACAGGAGAGCTTACATTACATTTGAGTGTTCTCTTTTAAAACATTTACTTTGTGATGTCATACTGGAGAAAATCAACCAAAAAACACCTCATGCGCTACCTTAAACATCCCAGGAAAGAAGTAGACTGGGGACCAGCAGATGGCGTAATGGTTATGTCCCTAGACTCCCACATAGTCGACAGAGATTCGAGTTCCAGACCGGGTGGCTAAAACTCATGCTGTGTGTGTGTGTGCATACATGCCCCAAATCCTGAGAGGAAAATGGAGGAGAAGGGATTGCGGCATGACCATCCCCCCTTGGGGAGATGATTTCTCATTTTCTCTCTATCTGTCTTTCTGGCAAGTGTACATGCCCTATAGCATAATTCTCTCAAAAAAATGTATTGTTTCTACTTATATGTTAATACATACCATAATCACAATCACCAAATTGTGGTTTCCCCCCATCATCACAACACTCTGTTTTTAAAGTATATTTATTTATTCCATGAGGCACACAGATAAAAGAGTAAGAGAAAAGAGCACCACCACAGGCCTGTAGTCAGCCCTGCAACAAGGGCAGTCATGTGCCTGGAGTACTCAAGGTCTCTGGACTTGAACTGGGAAACTTTCCAAGTGGGACTGCCTCAGACGATGCATTTAACTGCTACACCACTGTGTGGCCCAGAGCACCCTGATCTCTAAATGCTTATTTGAAATCTTTTGGATATTGAATATGCATCTTAAACTAAAAAGAAAAAGAAAAAGGAAAAAATACCCAGTAAATGTTGACACATGGTATTTTACTTAATGTATACACTCACCAGAATATGATTTGTGCATATGTTTATAAATCAAAGCTTAATTCTACCAAAATCTTTCACAAAAGAAATTCTGTGGCAAGTCTTTTGAAAATAAAATGGTTTTTCTTATGATTTACATTCATGCTACTTACACTTCATGCTTTATGCTTTATCATATGCTCAATGCTTTATTACACTCTATGCTCAGATAAACTTTATTCTTACATTATTTACACTTGTTTCTGTTTCATCTTTGAAATTCCTAATACTCTTTTAATAGATGTCATGGTATTTATTGGGTTGTTGGAAAAGTCATTACATATCTTTTCTATGTTTTTCTGTGCAATAATTCATGACTTTTCTGACATAGGAAGGACTTATAAATATTACATATTTCTGAACCTTTCCATTTATATTTGAAACTATCTCCCTGACAGATATAAAAGAAAAAAAGCAATGGGTTCTCATAAACTGAAGAGTGGTGGTAACAGTGGAGGTGAGGGTGTTTACAATGAAAATTATGAGAGGTGGTGTAACAACGGGAATCGGGCCAGTGCCCTTCCGACCCCAGTGGGTGAGACACAGCACTGACAGTCGGAGCTAAGCTGAGAACTGAGGACTGGTTGTATCAATGCTGCCTACTTTGACACTTGAAGTGTTCTGAAGCGAATTTTACTAAGAAACTGCCAACAAGACTCAACAGTGACCGAGAATATTCCCTGAAGATCAGATGAAGGCCCTGGGGGAGACGACCAGCCTACTGCCAGTCTAATGGGACTCTGCACCCGAATAGGTAGCCATCTGACAGGAAGCAAGACCCTAAGAGAACAAGAGAGTGAGGATGGATACGACCGGGACAGTCATAGGTGGGTCTGAGAGGGTCTGACAGCCAAGACATCTCCCTGAATGAAGCGTCTCTGTGTCAGAAGTGAGGAAAGCCCTTGCAAAGAGTCTCAAACACTCCTGAGGCCAGAACAAACTAGCATTGCAGCAGTTGGTTCCCTTTTACCTCTTCTTACCCCTCCCTGGCCCCAACTCTGGAAGAGTCAGAAATTGCAGCTGGGGGTGAAGAGTCTGGAGGGAGGACCCGGCAGAGGAAGGCGGAGGCCAAGCACCTAGCTCTTCCCTACAGCCGTCAGCCCAAGGCAGTCTCCAGAGAAGGAGGAATGTCACCATTCCATGGAGTGCAAATTCAGACTAGTGTGATAGAACACTTTCACTCTGAACATGTGGGATATTTTGGGTGGTTTAAAGTGATCACAGCACTTTTCATAATCTGCGAGTGGGTGGCAAAGCAGTGGAGACTGCTGGAGACTTCGTCAGGGGAAGGAAAAGGATAAGTCCACAGATCGAGTCTGCAGGGGGATTAAAAGAAAGCAGTAAACTGGCCATCACAATCTGGCCTTCAACACTTTCTACCCCAAGCTGTAAGGGGTGTGAAGATGAAAACAATCCCCTTCAAGGATCTGTCCTCTGGTCAAAGTAAACAGACAATAGTTGACATTGATTTGGCCTTTACCCTGATACACATTAACTAATTTAAACTTCACAAAAGCCCTAGGGTGGGAGATGCTATTATTCAATTTTACTAAACTGAGATTGAGGCACAGGGAGGGGAGGGGATGCTCCAGCCCAAGGCCATGTTTTGCAGCAGAGATGTTTGGTGCTCAGCAGCTCTGCCCTGCCCGCCAGAGCAGTGGGTCTTAGGACACTTTCAGTGAGCATTAGCCCAGACTGAGCCAGGGATGTGTTCTGGAGGAGGGCCTCTTGTTTTATTTTTTTTTTAAAGAAAAAAAAGTATTAATGATTAGGAATTGAGAAACAGGAACACTAAGAAGGTGCCAAGAATGGAACAGAATTTGCATCAAGGGCATTTCAGAACGGGGCATTCAGCCATTTACAGAGATTTTGCTGGAAAGAAGTTACTTTAGGGCTCAACTTTGGTTCATTAATTTTAAATCTTTTATACTTAACCTAAGGCTTTGCAAATGATAAGAGTCTCTATAATTGCATACATGAACACGGGATCTAAGAAATATTTAGAATGTGTAGGTAGTTTTTTTTTTTTTTTTTTTGAGGTTTTTGCCGTAGGGCACGTGCGCTCACCAGAGAGAGGACAGAGAGACAAAGCAGCAATCCCTTTCCTCCATTCTCCTCTGGGGATCTTGGGCACGCACGCACATGCGCCTGGCATGAGTTTTAAGCCACCAGATCCAGGACGCGAACCGCGGTCAACTATGTGGGAGTCCAGTGACATAGCCATTACACTAACTGCTGGTCCCAGAACGTGTAGGTAGTTTTGAGTCAACGATTACATCAATGTATTGTCCTGCTATCTCCCTCGCCCCCAACAAATTTAAAACTACTAATTCAGGAAAAAAAGAAAAATAATAATACATATAGATTTTTTAAAAGGGGGCGTGTGTTACTATTTTGATTTTCAAAGAGTGGTGACAGCTTACAGAACTTTGCTTTTTATAGACTTTTTCCAATCAATAAGGAAGATACAGCTCTGGTTTTTTGTTTGTTTGTTTGTTTTAAAAAAGGTTTTTGTCATAGGGCGTACTTGCTCACTAGAGAAAGTGAGAGAGACAAAGAGAGGGAAAGTGAGAAACTATCTCCCAAGGGGGACAACCACACCACAATCCCTTCTCCATTCTCCTCTTGGGTTTTGTGACACTCACATACACATGTCCTGTGTGATTTTCAAGCTGCCAGGTCCAGGACTCAGATCACTATCAGTTTGTGCCTTAACCACCTGCCACCCACTGGTTCCCAGCCTGACACATTTTGTAAAGAGAGATGTTAACGTTTTCAAACAAAAAGTTCATTTTAACAGAGATGTTAAGGCAATTTGTGAAAGCCTCTGCCATGTGTGATCAGAAGCAGAAAAGTTACAATCTATGTGAAACTGAAAGCATTTTGAGGTGAAGAGTAACCCTTCTCAAAGCTGAAGTGCTACATATCAGTAGCTGAGCACTCATGACACATTTTCCCATGGAGATGTAACACAATCCTCCTACACTCAGATTGTGTGTTTAGCTTGCAAACCAGCAGCAACCCTGCAGCCTAACCTCCCTTTACAATATTGCTTCTTTGAAAAATTATGTACTGAATTCCTTCTATATTCCAAAACACATTTTTCAGGATAAATTTATTTTGTTAATCTGTCACTGTATTGTATAAGTTATATATATAAATTATAAGATTTATATTTTACTTTCCTTGCCAAGTTTTATAAAGTTTTATCCTTAACACATTTCCTTTCTTAAAAGTTTATTAAAGAGACAGGCAATGGCACAGTGGTAAAACTCATCATCCCTAATGGTTTTGACACTTTGACCCATCCACAGCCTTGGCTGGCTCTGCATCTTGGGACCTGCATTCCTGGTGCACAGAGGGAGCTCTCTAGACTAGAACCAGGAACCTTTACATGTGGGACTGCTTCACAGTCACCCCCCAGGGGGAGGACCTTGCTGCAATCCCTTCTCCTCCATTCTCCTTTTGGGATTTTGGGCAGGCATGCACATGCGCCTGGTGTGAGTTTTAAGCCACCGGGTCTGGGACTTGAACCATGGTCAATAACATGGGAGTCCAGTGATGTCACCATTACACCATCGGCTGGTACCAGGAAAGTATTTCTAAGCACAAGTCAGTAACTTTTCTCCAAGAAGCCAGAAGAGTGGGCAAGGTCTAAGGAAGAAAGAACTCACCAGGAAAGGACTCTAAAGGGAAGCGGGGACTCAGGAAATGTCCTGTGCAAACCATGACAGCATCAAAGACAGCCCTTTCCTGCTTGCCCTCGGTCTCTGTGATGACCTCCCACTGGCCAGTTTCAGAGAATTCTGGATGCTTCGTCACGCTGCATACAGTGGTCTAAAAGCAAAAGACACACGTTCACTTTCTACCCAGACTTTCAGGCCTCATGGGAGGACTGCTGTGGTAGCCATGGCTGTTGTATTTCACAGGCCAAGTCCCAGGACAGGAGGTATGTAAATACTGATTTCATCTTCTCCAGAGAAGTTACGTAACTTATACAAACTCTCAAAGGTGATAATGTAGGCTGTGACCTATTATGTTTGAATTCTCTCATTGGAAGAAATAAACCGTTCTTATTCCTGGCGAGAAGGATGAGTTATAATACCTAATGCACTGGAAAAATTTAGGAAAATGGGTTTTGCTACATTATAATTTTTGAGGTTAAGACTTCTAATCATTTCTTCCCAAAGGGTTTCAGGAACAAAATTATTTTGCCAATTCTCTCAGGAAAAAAAAAAAAAAAAAAAAAAAAGTAGTTTATCCTGAGGAGGGTTTTGCATTCAGGAAATAATCAAGAAACTCAGTATTTTAATGATTAAAACAGAAGAAATAATGAGTTTTTATTATCTGCCTTACTCATATTGATATAAAGTCAAGAAAAAATTTACCTAAATCACCCATTACCATTAGATTCTGAATAGGCCAGCCCCATTCATTGCTCTTACAGACCTAGGAAGCTTACCTTAAAGTGAATGTATTTCAGGAGGTCAAAGTGCTGGGCAAATTTGTGGAGATAGTCCCAAAATTGTCTTTGGTTCATGAAGTTGGGATAATCTTCTTGGAAAGGGAAGTCACTGTAACATGACATTTCCTTGCAGACATTTGTCACTAATGACCTGTAGACCCTGGTCATGCCATCTTCGGGAGATTCCTGTGTGAAGGCAGAGTTGGCTTAATGAGGTGAAAGGGGCAGGAAGGAGCAGAGATCATGGTGGCTCTCGCCAGTCCCACTGGGAAGGAAGTGGTCACAGCGGTTATGTCCCACTTGTAGTTTTGGAGTTCTAAGTAACTCAGCATTGGGCCCCATACTAGAATTATCAAAGAATCCTCATTGGGATTGGAATAATTAAACAGTATCTTTCTCAAACCACAAGGTGGCTAACACAATTTGATAAAGCTCTCTAAACTGATGCCACCCTTAACGATGCAATCTGCTTTGGCTATCTTTTCCTTCTTTTCTTACTGTGGCCATTTGCTCCACCGATGTCTGCATGTCTTCCTCTTTGCCTGTATTCAGGGAGCCCCTCACTGATTTTTCTCATGGTTGCCCATGTCTATTTGCAATCACCCTGTTTAAAGACTCCTTCCCATCAGTACTTAAAATACATGAGACTCTAATTTTAAAACCTAAACATAACCTTCTCTCAACCCAAATCACCTTCCAGTACCTCTCTCCATCCGATCTCAAGCCTCTTGGAGAAATCATTATATATTGGTAGCTTCTATTTCCTCATGTGCTTTTCAACTCATTTCTTGCCTTGATCTTCATTACTCAAAAAAACATGACAGCAGCAAAACAAAAAGGTCTACTTTACAGGCCCCAATATACGTCTTGTGCCAAAGCAAATCTCTAGTTCTCCTTCAAGTCTCTCTTCAAGACACCTTCCATGAGCCAACAGATCTGCCAAGGTTGCTGTCCTGTCCCCGTGGCACCCTGAATTTCAGACATAGCAGTGATTATGCTGCGTTGTAATGATGTGTTTACTGTCTGTGCTTCTCACTGGACTGGAAGCAGGGACTCTCCCGTGCTGTTCACTATTCAAGTACTTACAGAATGAGTGAATTAATATTATAATGAATATTATATATATTATATAATATATAATATTATGAATATTATAATTCATAATATTATAATTTTAAAAAACATTATCTATATACATATAACTGGGTAAAATTTTAATAGTGCTGACCTGTGGGTATTGTTACTATATTTCATTTGCATTTTTCCTTTTGTTTAACCCAATATTTTCTAAAATTCGTCAAGAAACCAACCCAACTGTGGGGTCAAATAGCAGAAGGTACCAAAACCAGAACCAATACTTGCTTTCCATAATGAGATTTGATGGCTTAAAGAGACTTGCAGTTACAAAAAAGGGCTTCTTTTCTTCCTAATACTCTGTAAACCTAGGGTTGTGATCACGCCTACTTATTCTGTTTTTGCACCACCCAAAAATCCAGCAAATGTCATCCCTCCACAAAGGCCCCTCATTCGTACCACTGAATGGACGATGGTCTCTCTTCCCCTGCCTTCTAATATCTGGCCTCCTAGCTCCATCTTCTGACGCCTTCTTACACTGCAGCACTGGGGCAGAGCTCCTGGTCCCAGTGACCAGAATCAATCCTGGCCAGAAGCAGGCGGTATTTAACCACTGCCAGCTCCACTTTGATGCTCAGGTCACCTGACAGCTGGCCTGGCCCTGAGCACAGCTCCCTTAGCTGCACGCATCACTTCTAAGGAGGCCTGGCCAGTGCCTGAGTGCTTTCTGTTCTGATGACGTGAAAGCTCCCTTCCAAGGCCCAGGTCTTGCCTCCCTCCTGCCAGTGCTCTTCCCAAAGATCCACACAAAGTCTGGGTTGGCACTCCACTCTCTGTTGCCTCCCTAGGATGCCATTCAGCGTGCCTGATGTGACATTCTGCTACATTGTCTTAGAATGCCCATGGTTCAGAAATCATCATAAACTCCCATCATAAACTCATAATGTCTACATTAGTAAGTCCTTTTTTTTTTGAGAGAGAGAGAGATTTTTGCTATAGATGTGTGTGCTCACCAGAGAGACAGAGAGACAGAAATCAGGAAATCATTGTTCAGGGAGGATGGTCACACTGCAATCCCTTCTCTTCCAGTCTCTTCTTGGGATCTCAGGCAAGCACACACATGCTCCTGGCGTGTGTTTTTTTGGGGGGGTTTTGGAGAGGTTTTCGCTATAGGGTGCATGCGTTCGCCAGACACAGAGAGAGAGAGACAGAAAGCGAGAAATCACCCCCCCGGGGGGATAGTCACGCCGCAATCTCTTCTCCTCCATTCTCTTCTTGAGATCTTGGGCATGCACACGTGCCCGGCTTGAGTTTTAAGCCACCAGGTCCGGGATGCAAACCGCGGTCGACTATGTGGGAATCCAGCGAAGAAGGCAAACTGAGGCTTGGCTCTGGGACTTCGCGAGGAAATGGAGGCCCAGGGTTGGCTTCTCTCAGTCAGGTCAAATACATAGGGTGCAGCAACATAATCATTACAACCTGCTGGTCCACTTAAGTAATTCTTCTTCTCTGTTCCACCTGTCCCTGACCCTGCCCTGCCCATTTCCATGGCCCATCATTGATCAGCCTGCAGTCTGCAGTGGTCAGCACTGTGCCATGCACTGCCCCTGGCTGGATCACCACAAGGCAGGCTGACACCACCATGTCTACGCAAACAAATGACATCATGGTTGCTGGAAATGAAACAAAGTGAATCACTCACAGTAAACTTCCATAGTCCCCCAATGTCGTCACTTCTCTCAAAGCAAGTGGGCTCCAGACCCTCGTCCAAGCAACATTTGATGGAGGACAGGCCACTCACACCAGCTCCGATCACTGCCACCCTCTTGGCCATGGTGTGTTCTGATAGAGGAAGGTCAAGCAGAGATTTTTAATATGACAAGATTGAAAGAGAGCCCTTGTCAGACATTTGTAGTGATTAACATTTTGGTTAAAAATGCAGGTACTGAGACCAGCAGTTAGCGTAATGGCTATGTCGCTGGACTACCATGTAGTCGACCACGGTTCACGTCCGGGACCTGGTGGCTTAAAACTCACGCCAGGCACGTGTGCATGCATGCCTAAAATCCCAAGAGGAGAATGGAGGAGAAGGTACTGTGGCTTGGCCATCCCCAGGGGGTGATTTCTCACTTTCTGTCTCTCTATCTCTCTCTGTCCGTCTAGTGAGTGCATGCACCCTATAGCAAAAACCTCTCAAAAAAAAAAAAATGCAGGCACGGAAATCAGACCATTTTGATTTAAGACCTGGTTCACCAGTTACTAGCCATGAGAGCTTGGCTAACCTGTTATCTTCTCTGGTATTTTGTTGTTCTTGTTTAATAAAAATGGGAATGATGATGAGGATAATAACAGTAATAACTACTCTCGGAAGAATTTTTCTTAGGATCAGCAGATAGCGTAGTTGTTAAATCACTGGACTTCCACATGGCCAAACACAGTTCAGGTCCTGGACCTGGTGGATTGAAAATCATGTCTGGGGTGTGTGCCAGCGTGCCCAAGATCCCAGGAGGAGAATGGAGGAGAAGGGACCATGGCATGGCCACCTCCCCTGGATGGTGATTTCCCACTTTCCCTCTATCTCTGTGTGTGTGTCTCTCTCTCTCCCTGCTGAATACACAAGCCCTATGGCAAAAACTTTTATTAAAAAAGAGAGATTTTTTAGTGAATATTAAATGACTGATAAGGGTTTGGTAGGATTTTAGAGTGTGCCTGCTACCTCCAAGAGCTCAGTGAACGTTAGCTATAATTATTAGCAGCTAATGAAGCCAGGACCTCGGCCCCCAGGAAACATACATCACCTTGTGTTAAAGAGGCCCCCCGCCACGACCTTGCCCTCTGAAATTTAGCAATTTCAGTCAGTAGAGATGGCCACTTTTATTCAAAACAGTTAGAGGCCTAAAAAGATGTGGTGATAGTCACTCCCACGTGACACAGATATGACAAGAACTGAGGAGGGCTCTGCCTCTCACAGCGCTAAGACTGGCCCTAGAAGAGCACTGTCGTGTGGGACAGACTGGAGTCCAAGGGCAGCCTGGGTAAGAATGGGCTGCTCGTGCTGGTCAGGGCAGACAGTGGAATTACGCTCCACGGGCTTTCCTCACTTTGCGGTCCTGGCTTCTCCAAACCTCCACAGAGCTGTGCCTAGTTGGCTGGGCTAATCGACGAATTCCAGCCAGTCAGGTCGACACGATGCTAGGCTCTCAGCGGGTCGGGTGGCGATGGCTGGCAGGAA